GTATCGGCCACTGCCCGCATGTCCTTGTGTAAAAAATATACGCATCCAATCATTACAAAGTTTTTGATCGGAAACCAACTGTCAGGGCTCATCCTAAAATGGAACGAAGTCGAGAATTTTGTCTCCTTTCATTCAAGTTTTTCAACTATGCCTGTGAATTTGTGTGACTGTCTGTCTCATCGTAGAATTTCGGTCTTCTAGAGAGTAAATGTGTTAGGACTGGATCTCCGTTGCTAATTCCCATCAAATTAATCAAGCGATGAGCGTGGAGGGCGAGAATTTTGATTGGTTGCTTCAACCAGTTCCATCGTAGTATGGGTCCATAGACTTTCATTGGGATTAGAATGCGGATTTCTCTCGTACGAAGTTGCGAGAGCCAGCCAATAGTCAGCGTTTTTATCCTCCCAAACGAGCCTGATACCAATTAACCGAGCCCGAAGAGATAGAGGCCTTGATTGGCTCGCAAGGGTATCGATCCGGGTTTTTATCCCGGGACCGTGCGCGTGGTAATGCGTCTTTAGCACATATCTTCGCCTTTATCAATCGATATTGATCGAAATTATGGAGTTTCTTGAGAAAGCCCATTTTGTTGGTCGCCCAAAATGATGGGCATGAGCTGTATAGACATAGAATCTGAATATCAAAGGTTATGAACCAGTCCCNGACTTTCATTGGGATTAGAATGCGGATTTCTCTCGTACAAAGTTGCGAGAGCCAGCCAATAGTCAGCGTTTTTATCCTCCCAAACGAGTCTGATACCAATTAACCAAGCCCGAAGAAATAGAGGCCTTGTTTGGCTTGCAAGGGTATCGATCCGGGTTTTCATCCCGGGACCGTGCGCGTGGTAATGCGTCTTTAGCACATATCTTCGCCTCTATCAATCGATATCGACCGAAATTACGGAGTTTCTTGAGAAAGCCCATTTTGATGGTCGCCCAAAATGATGGGCATGAGCTGTATAGACATAGAATCTGAATATCAAAGGTTATGAACCAGTCCCGATCGAGAACAGGTCCTATACTCTATTAAGTATGTATGGTTATCGAATAAGAGTCATAGAAAAGCTAAGGTAGGCCATCGGTCGGAATGACTCCTTTTTGAGTCACCCGCGCGGTACCGTACTTGACGAAGACTGGTAATCAGTTTTTCCTTCTCCAAACCATTTGTGTTCCTCTGTGTTCTGCACAGCCTTCGGGTTGTCCGACAGCATGGACAAAACCAAAATCACCATGTTTTCTGATCCCTCCCGGAAAGCGCAAATCCGTAAAGTAGTTTTCCCTTGCTAATCAGGAAAGACGTGCTCGCAGCGGAAGTTCACTTCCGGATGGCAAAGTGTTGATTCGTGATTCAATCAAATACTTAATCCAAATTAGGTGCTACCGAGGGTATTATGGTAGCGTGCTCGTCCTCCGCACCAGTCTGGTGGTTAATTACAGGTAAGTTTAGCGGGTAGTCCGGCTTTTCGGATCCTAAGGTCAGGACATCTTATCAAACGCGAAGTTGTCTGAATTTTGTTGTTAACATAATCGTAACAAGCTCAAAATTAAGATTGTCATTCCCTGTTAGTTCTATTTTCGATAATTCTTCTCTGGGCAATGCGTGGAGGTAGGGCTGAGGTAAGTGGCGTAGCCACCGCCATGCACAGTCTCGGGGTCAGATCTTACCCTACCCAGCAAGTCTTCCGTCGGNTGTTCGTTCTATTCTCGACAATTCTTCTCTGGGCAATGCGTGAAGGTAGGGCTGAGGTAAGTGGCGTAGCCACCGCCATGCACAGTCTCGGGGTCAGATCTTACCCTACCCAGCAAGTCTTCCGTCGGCCAGAATCGACAAGTTATTCTAGGCTGTTCGCTGGCTTCTTCTTTACTATTCCCTGATTGAGGTAAAGCATCCGAATCTGCCTAAAATCTTCGTAGTTCTCATGCCTGGAGTTTTCATCTCAGTTCTGAGCCACAGTAGCAGCCGAATGCATGCTGGGGGCTATGCATTCGATTGTAGGAGCCAGGCAGTGTGCATTTCAGTGGTTCCGTCTTCCTAAACGAGTTTGTGTCCAATTACCCAGACTGGAAGAGGTAAAGTATTGGTTGGCTTGGACGAGATTAGAGCCGAAATTCGTTCCGCGAACGATGCATATGGTGATCGTGGTGGTGACGCAATGGCAAATGTGACAATGTGCTGACGGGAAGGGCTGCCATTGGGTTTAGGTTTAAGCAGGGCTTACACAGCCATCGGCTGTTCGTTTGCCCATAATCAGCAGATTGTGGAAGAATAACGCATCTGTTGCTACCAGGGTGTTCGTGTTTTAAGTTCGGCGTCAAGAATTGCTTCTGTGACAGCATGGGAGCGCTTGGAAAGTTGTTCCTCATGTTCGTATCTGCTGTAGTTTGGACGAGTTATCCTTAACAGGCTTGGAAAGAGCGTTGTTTTTCCATGGTGCAGTAGCCTTGTAGTGCTACTATAAAGTAAACTTCTCTTCCGTCATCATTTCCTCTGCTTTTTCATTGGCTGGTAGTTAACCCCATACGACTTTAATCTGAACGGCGCGTTCCACCAGGATGCATGGGGTTAGATGCTAAATCTGGTCGGATTCATGGTTGGGTAAGAATTTTGGCTTTTATCAACGTGGACTTCGGATGGGTAGTTTTTACAGTTTAGGTTAGCAGCACAAATTGTTCAGCTATAGCCTTCCTAATCTTTTGAATTGCAGAACGGAGTAACAAACAACATTGAGGATGTAATTACAAAGAGTGCAGTACAAGAAGTTGTCCCGGTAAGTTTACCCAGCAATTATTTTTTCCTAAATTCATTTTTTTTTCCTTTGAATTACGCTCATTCGGTATTTGGCCGCGCGCCGCGCCAACGTGCACGACGTATAAATTAGATATCAGCAGCTGAAGATGCCAAGCAGTTCATGCCACCATCCGCTGAACCCTTAGTTTTCAGAATACGAGAACAGAGCTTGGAAAACGAAAGAAAGGCAAAAAAGAGAAAAAGGAAAATGTCATTATGGCTGAAAATGTACCAGGTTAGCTTTTTTGCTTTCGGTCTGATGTGGAATTGCGATTACCTGATCTATACCTCACTTACTTCCAGCAAAAAGATTTAAATGAATCTGGCTCTGAATGAGAATCGAGTGAATAGTTCATTTTAACAGGATTAGGAGGCGCTCAGGACACTCTTTCGGGCTTTCAGACAAATCGAGTAGTAACCTATTTGCTTGGAAGAGTAGAAGGTAATCATAATGAGAATCTATTCTTGAGCCGAGGGCGTAATGACTTTGCCAGTCGTTGCTGACATGATGCAAGGGGTATGGGTCAGCACATGCCATCTACGTCAAATGGCGAAACCAGGTCACCTCGTCGAGCGCGACGTCTCGGTTAGCAAAGTCAAGACCCTCCTAGTTTTCCGTAAAAAAGGTTGAAAGGTCGTAGCGGTATGAATCGAGTTCGCCGAATGCGCAACGACCTACTTTAGATCAGCCGACCGCGATGGCATGTGCCGACTCATGGCAGCAACATTTGTTACACCCACGGCTCAAGGACAAATTCTCATTAAGGTTTACTTCCTGCTGTTCCAAGCAGATTACTTATTACTTGACTTGTTTGGAAGTAGAAAAGACTGTCCTAGGCATCTTCATATCCCTTTGAAATGCATAGGCGGATTTCTGGCAAGTAAAAAGAAATTTCAAACTAGTAGATGTAAAGCGAAACCAGTATGAAAGGCTGTAGTCGATCCTATAGAGGAGTGCCTACAACTTCTGAGTGGTTTAGCTTGATGACAACGCCGCAGCGTAATTTGTTTGGCAATGGGCCAAGCATCGAACGCTGACCAACGGAGAATTATATAAACGGGTGGCCCCCTTCGCTCGTCCACGCTGAAGGAGAGCGGAATGTGTCTGTCGGCGATCCGAGCTGCTCGTGCTCTCTCATCGTACTCCCTCTCGACATCTCCTCGCTCGTCGTTCTGTCTCGGGCTCGCAGCTGTGTGTGGCCCGCGTTGGATTGCCTAACGCTCTCCCGCATAGCACACACACACGCATACACACGCACACGCACGCGTGCTCACAACTGACTGTCGCACCTCCCTTTGGCTTCTGTCCAAATTTCTGGTCACCTGTGCCAGGTTTTGTTTTACAAACTTTATGTGGATTAATTGTTGTTTCTGTGTGTTTCAGATATTTGTCCGTAATCACGTAAAAATCGCTTTGTTACAGTTTTAAGATACGAAGTTGGCGACATGCGTTATACATACATTCTTATTTTTAAACGCATCAATTACTCTGCAATTCCGTGCCGCCGAAACTTGCTCGTTATCTTACTGTAGCTATTTTTCCTTGAAAACTTTTTGCGGAATACAACATTTGCCTCCTAATTTTGTGGAGCCATAAAGGCCTACTTTTTGCTCGAGAAAACGGCACTTTCAAAGTTCATTACGCACTCTTTTCCAAACTAACGCATTTGTGATATATAGGGGCCTTTCCGTTTTTATATGAAACATTTCAGGTCATATGGGCCAACTGTCTGTTGAGCAGTTAGTGCATCTGATCGAAGGCAATCATTCCGAGCAGAACGTCAAAAAACAGGTCAGTAATAGTCGGTGATGTTAATAGAACAGGTCAAAACTGAGTCCTTATCATTCTCTTGTTCTCTCTCCCAGTCTCTCGCTGCACTTAGAAGCCAGTATCTCCCCAAAACGGTGTCGTACTCTCCCACCAAATGATTCATCGCCGCCATTTTGAACGCCAATTCCGTGTTGACTTCGCTTCGTGCGCGATTTCCGCGTGGATCCCCATTCACGGCCAAAAAGTGGCTGAGTCATGCAGTACAACATCTCCACCTCTACCGCCTCATTCTTAGCAACCATCGTCCCGAACAGTGTCATCATGACCGTACTTTACCAAGTTTAAAGGAACGGGGGGACTTTGGTTGAACCTTTGCGTAGTAATCGATAAAGTTGTTGGTCGCGTTCTCTCTTCTTCGTCGCTATTTGAGTGAGTTCCTGTTTTTCTTCTCGCATTCCTTTCAAGATTGCTGGACGTTCGCGTTCTGTTTCCGTCGGTATCCACATTACTGTTTGCGTCCGAGCGCAAAATTTCACATTCATTCATCAAAAAACCACCTCACGTTATCTGTAACAGGTATTTAGGGCCAAAAAGACAAATCATCCTCTATTGTCGAAGTCGTCTCAGAAGAGACAAATCAAACGAAAAAAGAGCGCCGACGCAAGTCGAAGGAACTCAAGGAGAACACACAGTCTACACCTCCAGTCGTCACCATCGGTGCACAACAGACGAAGACAGGCGGCCCTCCTGCCGCCGCCACCACTACATCCTCGCCTCCAGCGGCATCTGCAACTGCGCAGCCTCTTAAAATGTACGGTTTACTCAGGTTTTCTATGGAACAATAAATCAGTTTGATAAGTCCTCTATCAGTAATTTTAGGGAGTTTACTGTTGCTAACAAGCGAGTAACATCGCCTGTATCGGAAAAACGGCGAGGAAAAGGTGCTGAACGTAATGTTCGGTGTTCGACAGAAGATTGCGAAGAGGAGTTCCTCAGTGCAGATGAGGGAGTCGCTTCGCCGGTGGTAGATGAGGTGGTACGTCACTCTTACTTGAATGAGTTGAGTGACTTGTTGAGCTTTTTATAGTTCCAGATTATGCCTCCTACAGTTTCGATATTGACGGCAACAACAACGACTACCACTACAGCTTCAGCTACTAGCTCAGCATCTGAAGTAATTCTTGATGGACGCAATTACAGGTGCACCTAAGACGTTCTCATTTGGTTATGGCAGTTTTTTACTCTGATACTTTAGAGCAGACGACGAGGATGTCACTCAAATTGAACGTCAATGTGCTGATGAGCAAGAGTTCATCACGGTGAACACGAAGAAGAAGAAGGGTATCGAATATACTGGAAAGCAGCAACAACGTACCGGGTAGGCATCGTTTTACTATACAATTATCTTTATTTTTTACATCATGTTGACTTCGATATTCTGAATATTGTGACCATGTGCAGTTCGGCTGGAAAAGAAGAGCGCCATCAGCGTGTAGCAGAACGTCTCGAACCTGCTCGACGCAGCTCTCTGGGCATGGCTCCTGAAACACGATCAACTCCACTGGCAAATTCACCCCTACCTTCTGCTCGCCGCCCAACTACTGCTTCTCTAGCTGATTTCTTGGATGACAAGGTTATTGTAGGTTTTTAAATCCTATATTTTTTGTGGGTTGAGATTTTGTATTTTTTTAAATATTCTATCATGCTTAGGCTTCATTTGTTGAAAAAATGCTCAAAGTAATCACTTAGGATGCGGCAAAAATGCAAACAAAATCATCTGTCAACATTTCGAATGCACCGAAAAACATGAAGAAGTTACACCGTAATGAGGTCAGTCGCCATTGGTATTCAGAAAATCTTCGTTTCTTTTTTATAATTGAAATATGAACTTTTAGCGCAATTCCCAGCCTGATGTAGAAGTTTCCTTACCTGAGCTTCCAGTGGAACGGGTTCGTAATTATTATGTTTTTACTACACTGAAAAAGTTTCACAAAGTTTTGAGACGAATCTGAACTTTTTCTGATGTGAATTGATTTGTTATAAGGGCCTGATACGTATCTCGATCTCGTCCAAGGTCATGCTAAGATGTGTCGGGCGCGGCGACGGCGTGGGGTGTCGTTTCCATGAAGTCTGTTGGCTAGAGGAATTCGGTCGTGCGATGACCGATTATTGGGGCGGGGTTGCGAGTCGCGCTCTCGTACAGTTCGTCATGGTATCGATCGGCCTCTCACATCTTTTGTGTCCTCAATAGTTGACTGACATCACTTGGACGTGATTTTCTTATCGAGACCTCGTTGCTAGCGCTCAAGGAAACTGGCGAAACCCTGTCCGTTACGTCATTGTACAGTTCAGTTCACTTTGGTGCAAATTCAATTCGGTTCTGCTTTGTGTGCTGGCCGTTTTTATTTTGTATATCATGAGTCATCATGATTTATACGCTTACTGTACGCCGTTGAATTTTCGAAGTGTTCGTTTTCGAAGGGTATCGTTAGTTTTTTTTCTACTTCATCGGGCGGACTCCTTACGATTTGTAGTGAATGTGTAAGAAGGGGGACTTAGAAATAATCCTTGGCTATATTCCCACGAGTGCGTAAAATGATGCATTTTTTAAGGTCAGCATAATTTTTATGGAAAAGTTTTTGTCACCATGGTTTTTGTACATTTGTATGTGAAATGTTCAGGAGAGTTCTACCCTGATGGGAATTTGGCATGATATTTATGCTTAGCTAGGAAGATTTCGGTGTTTAAAGTGCAAAGGTGCTTAACAAAGTATGTAGGAAGGCCAAGTTTTGCCTGTAACTCGACAGTCTTTTGATAACTGCACTAAAATATTTTTGTGAACGAGAAAAATCTGTTGGATTGATAGTGTTGATAGGCTGACGTAAAAGCCAGTAAGAATTAGATGGCAAGCGAGGTACAGGGTAAAGAGCGCAGCACTCGGATAGCCCAAGTAAGGTTTAGAAACCCGTCCGAGGCTAAAGTTTTGACCATAGTTCGCCAATCTTGTGAGAAATTTGTTCGTCTTTTTTTTGAACTCGAAAAAGTATGCATCAGTTCAATATTTGAAGAAC